AACACGAAGTGGCCTACAGTTGGCTCCGGGCATTCAAAATCATGCCCAGGAATGGAGTTCTGGGAACTTGAAGAGCACGAAGTGGCCTACAGTTGGCTCCGGGCATCCAAAATGTGGCCCGGGAATGGAGTTCTGGGAAATCGAAGAGCACGAAGTGGCCTACAGTTGGCTCCAGGCATCCAAAATGTGGCCCGGGAATGGAGTTCTGGGAAGTCGAAGAGCACGAAGTGGCCTACAGTTGGCTCCGGGCATCCAAAATGTGGCCCGGGAATGGAGTTCTGGGAGCACCAAGAGCGATTTTGCGAGGATGTCCCAAGCGATTTCGGCTTCGGCGGCAGCCTGTCCGGGTCCCGCCCAGACCCCCCTGAGGAGTCATGATGCTCTCTTTTCAGACCACTAGGAACCTATCAGCAAGAGCTGTTAGGTAATTATCCCGGCAAAGCAACCTAACAGCGATATGTAGAAACATATCTGAAAGCATTCCCCTTAAGATTCAAATGAAAATCCAGTTGTCGAATTCTGCTGTTCTCGCAGTCGTAATCGCATTCGCGATGACAGTCGCAGCGGCAACGGCAATCGCAGTCACAGCCTCAGCCTCAGCCTGCCTCAGCCTCAGCCTGCCTCAGCCTCAGCCTGCCTCAGCCTCAGCCTCAGCCTGCTTCAGCCTCAGCCTCAGTCTGCCTTCAGCCTCGGCCTCAGCCTCAGCCTGCTCAACCTCAGCCTGCATCAGCCTCAGCCTCAGCCTCAGCCTGCCTCAGCATCAGCCTGCTCAGCCTCAGCCTCAGCCCGCCTCAGCCTCAGTCTGCTTCAGCCTCAGCCTCAGTCTGCCTTCAGCCTCGGCCTCAGCCTCAGCCTGCCTCAGCCTCAGCCTGCCTCGGCCGCAGCATCAGCCTGCCTCAGCATTCAAAATGTGGCCCAAGAATGGAGTTCTGGGAACTAGAAAAACACGAAGTGGCCCACAGTTGGCTCCGGGTTTTCAAATTCATGCCCAGGAACGGAGTTCTGGGAAATCGAAGAGCACGAAATGGCCTACAGTTGGCTCCGGGCATCCAAAATGTGGCCCGGGAATGGAGTTCTGGGAAATCGAAGAACACGAAGTGGCCTACAGTTGGCTCCAGGCATCCAAAATGTGGCCCGGGAATGGAGTTCTGGGAAGTCGAAGAGCACGAAGTGGCCTACAGTTGGCTCCGGGCATCCAAAATTTGGCCCGGGATAAAAGTTCTGGGAGCACCAAAAGCGATTTTGCAAGGATGTCCAAATCGATTTGGGCTTCGGCGGCAGCCGATCCGGGTCCCGCCCCGACCCCCTCTGTGGAGTCATCTGCTGCTCTCTTTTGAGACCACTAGAAACCTATCAGCAAAAGCTGTTAGGTAAAAACACACTCACCGAGGCTCAAAAATTATCCCGGCAAAGCACACTAACAGCGATGTGTAGAAGCATATCTGAAAGCATTCCCCTTAAGATTCAAATGAAAATCCAGTTGTCGAGTTCTGCTGTTCTCGCAGTCGTAGTCGCATTCGCGATGACAGTCGCAGCGGCAACGGCAGTCGCAGTCACAGCCTCAGCCTCAGCCTGCCTCAGCTTCAGCCTCAGCCTGCCTCAGCCTCAACCTGCCTCAACCTCAGCCTCAGCCTGCTTCAGCCTCAGCCTCAGTCTGCCTTCAGCCTCGGCCTCAGCCTCAGCCCGCCTCAGCCTCAGCCTGCATCAGCCTCAGCCTCAGCCTCAGCCTGCCTCAGCATCAGCCTGCTTCAGCCTCAGCCTCAGCCTGCCTCAGCCTCAGCCTCAGCCTCAGTCTGCCTTCGGCCTCGGCCTCAGCCTCAGCCTGCCTCAGCCTCAGCCTGCCTCGGCCGCAGCATCAGCCTGCCTCAGCATTCAAAATGTGGCCCAAGAGTGGAGTTCTGGGAACTAGAAGAACACGAAGTGGCCTACAGTTGGCTCCGGGCATTCAGAATCGTCCCCAGGAACGGAGTTCTGGGAACTTGAAGAGCACGAAATGGCCTACAGTTGGCTCCGGGCATCCAAAATGTGGCCCGGGAATGGAGTTCTGGGAAATCGAAGTGGCCTACAGTTGGCTCCGGGCATCCAAAATGTGGCCCGGGAGTGGAGTTCTGGGAAGTCGAAGAGCACGAAGTGGCCTACAGTTGGCTCCGGGCATCCGAAATGTGGCCCGGGAATGGAATTCTGGGAGCACCAAAACCGATTTTGCGAGGATGTCCAAAGCGATGTCGGCTTCGGCGGCAGCCTATCCGGGTCCCGCCCAGACCCCCCTGAGGAGTCATGATGCTCTCTTTTCAGACCACTAGAAACCTATCAGCAAGAGCTGTTAGGTAATCAACCAAAACGACCACAGTGTGCCACCATGATGTAAGAACGCAAAGCAAGCTGGTGTAGCCTAGCAACGCTACCACCTTCCCTCGGTTGACCTACATGGCGAGGCGAACGTGCGATGACGCAGCGGTCGCTCTCCCACTGGTGCGCGATCAGAAGCGGGGTACCCTGTAACGTTAGAACATCCACCAGTTCAGCAACAACGCATGGGGAGGACGCATCCACCCGTCCCAATATCATCATCGTCTTGATATTGCAAGACCACGCAGCGCAATGACCTCGCTGGTGCGCTCGAGGATTGGCAAAAATAATAATGGCCCACAACAAGGTTGATGGGAACCGTGTGCAATTCGTCTGCGACAGCTGCCGTAAGTGTGATGGTATGCCGTAATGAGTAACGACAGTGCGCAGCTTAGCCACGATGTCCAATCCCTCGAAGAGGTCGGCCTTGTACCACACTCGCCCTCTGGCGAGGATGGCGCAGCAGGCGCTTTGGAAGCTTCGTATGCTGTGCACTCGCTCGCCTCGACCATTCGGATTCCCGTTCGGCATGAGGCTCCAGGAGGATCGTGCCGTCCCCCAACGCTCGCCTCCGCACCAAATCACCCAGAAAAAAACATCATCGCAGGCACACAAGTCAAACAAATCGTTACACGAATGTGTGAGCGAGTGGCTGCAATGAGGTAAGGGCGAGTGGGACTTGCGACCCACTAAGGCACGGTGTACGACTGAACGCATCACTTGGGCCCTGAGGCTTCTAAGCGCGCTTCCCGTCATCCGCCACGTCCCGGTGGAGGAGCGATCCCGCCAGGCCCGCCACCACTGCTCCCCTTGACCCCATCCACTTGATAAATATTTCCCCCTCTGGGACGGCATCCAACGTCGATCGCGCGACTTTTGGAGTCAAAGCGCGCTTCCCATCATCCGCCGCGTCCCGATCAAGGCTCGACCCCACCACAACTCCCTCCCTGGACCTCCCACTTGATAAATGTATTTCCATCCAGGCCCAGAAGCAATGTCCATCGCGCGACTCTTCGAGTCAAGACGGCCCAATAAGGGAAATAAGACCCCAAGAGTGCCCCACAACGGCACAAGAGAGCTCCAAGGCGGCCAAAGATTTCCCCGGGATTGCCCCAGAGGGCCCTACGACCGCCCACAAAAAACATTCCAAATCGTGGCCGAGCCCGGCAAACAGGCCAGCAACGCCCCAAATCTCGCCCAAACGGCCTAAGGAAGCTCCGACACGAGAAACCGGATCTGGCCCGATTAAGCCGGATGCGCACCAAGGAAATACCAGGGCCGACTCTCAACTCTAGCTACCAGGAGCTGCAACCTAAGCAGGAGGCCTCTTGGAAGCCTTACTGCCTTTCCCAGCAGGACCCCAGGAAACTTCCGAACCCGGTTCCGAAGAAGCACCCTTCGTCTCTCGGGTCGGACGACACGGAGGGCAAAGGCAAAGCTCTAATTCACGCGGTCTGGCGCTGTCGCAGAGCCGCTCAAGACGCGGGGGGAGGGAGAAGGGGGGAGGGGGGGGGGCGGGAAAGGAAAAGAGAAAAAGGCGGGTTCGGAAAGGGGTGGTCGGAAAGGGGGGCTCGGAAACGGGGGGGACGAAAAGAGGGGGGTTCGGACGCGGGGGAAGGGCGGACGAAAAGGGGGGCTCGGAATAAGGCGGTCGGCGCATCAGCTCACGTGGCCGGTGCTCTCGGCGCCTCCTGGCAGCAGAGGCACCTGTGCATCGAGGAGAGCGCCCGTTGGCGGGGCTGAAACTGGCTGCACGCAGCAACTTCCCTCTCCCTGCCCCGAATCCCGACAAGGAGATCGACTAGAGAATCGATTTACCCCCAAGCAAGAAAACTTAGTTTATCGCCGAATCTGCGCAACATGCGCAGAATGCTTCGTAGCTCTACTGAACATTCTGCGTACCTGGGTCAAGTCTACGACTTGACCAAAAAAAAGCATGCCGGGGTAAATCAACTCTGTGGTCGATCCCCTATTACTCGAGAATTCGTCCGACCCGATGCTCTGAGGGCCGTCCCCCTTGCCCCAGTCCCTGGCCGGGATCCGCACAAAGGCAGGGGGGGGCCGCACCCCCCAGGGACCACCCCCGCCCGAGCTCTGAGCCGCGTCCGGCCGAGGCGGCCAGCACCTCCAGAGGCACAGAGCAGGGACCAGCGCACAGGAAGAGCACAGCTATGGACAAAAAACGCATCCTCAGGACCAGCGCGCAGGAGAAGCCGCGCCGTCGCCCCTCCTCTGGCATGATGGGGGAAGCGGGTCCTGAAGGAGACGGGTCCTGGACCCAGGGGACCTTCTCCCAGGACCAGCTCTTCAGCCCGAGTCGCCTCCTCAGGGCCCCGAGGCCAATGGAAAACCTTGAGAGCCCGTTACAAACGCGGAAAACCCGAGGACCCCTTCCCCCCTCAGGACCCGTTCCCTTCGTGGCGACTGCTGCGCGCTGCCGAGAACCAGTGTGAGGGGCATTGGGGGCGACCGGCTCAGGGGGGGAAACATCGAGCTGGGATCGACGAGACATCGCCGATGGATCGGCGATGAGCCCTCGGTGGCAAAACCCCACGGCCCCATTGAGGGCTATTGGGCCCCCATCGGCGATCCTCCCCTGCGCCCATCTCCCCCCCAGGCGCTGCCCCGGAGGGCGAGGAGGGCCGGGCGGCCTCGCCATGCTGTGCCAGCCTCGCCTCCACCTGGGCGTCCACCTGCGTCGCCAGCCGGACGCCCAGCTGCTCCACCTCTCGGCGAACGGCACGACGACGATGTCGAGGGCGACGACCCCTGGATCCGCGTCGCAATCTTTTCACACCGGGCGCTGTCGCCTGGGACCATCACAAATCGATCCGGCTCAAAAAATGCTTCGGAGAGATGTGGTCTAGGCCTCCTGTCGTGAGTTGTCGAGATGTTGTTTTTTCGTAACGTCGGATATCAAGGACGACGGGCGACGACGAGGACGAGGACGATGCCGAGGACGACGACGATGACGACAACAAGGAAGAGGAAGAGGACGAGGACGAAGACGAGGACGACGGCGACGGCGACGGCGACGACGGCGACGACGGCGACAACGACGAGGATCGGTTTTGGGGGTGGATCGTGCGCCTTTGAAGAGGCGCCCTCGTCGCAACGGCGGGGTCCGCTTCGACGCCGGAACGCGCCCCCTGACGGGCCCGGGGGTCGATAGTTTGGGGACGGGGGGCCCAGGACCCTAGCGTCACGAAAAAAAAAATCGAGAGACGGCTGGTTTGCCTTGGTTCAATCCTTTTTCCATGCTCGAAAGGACTTGGGGTGAAAACTGGTCCAGTGTTCTGGAGGCGCACTAATTACAAGGACGCCGACCCTAGAGATCCCTCGGCGTGTGAAATTAATCGCCCTCTCCACTCCAAGACTCTCCCTTGGAAGCCTGGTATGGCGGGGTTTGGAGCGGGGGAGAGACGGAGCTGACCTGGTGCAATAGAGTGCGCCCAAAAATATGTCACAACGTCTGCAGAGGCCACCCAAGATTGCTCAAGATGGCTAAATTTGCCTTCAGACGGCATCTCCAGTGTGCATTCAAGAGGTCACATATTTGTTCCAAGACGAAGATGGCTAGAGGTGGAGCCATACAAAAACCTAACTTGCCCCGAATGCCAAAAGCGAACAAAACACATGGCAAAACAACATATGGTTCAAATCGTATGCTTATCCCGGTGTTCTGAACGCGACGTCTCTGGGAGTGCGGCAGACGGTACAGATGCAAATACGCCGCAATACGAACCAACAAAGCCGCAAAGGGCCCCCAAACGGCGTCCCAGGACGGCCACAAACATTTCCAAGGTAACCCAGGCTGGCGCCAAGACAGCCCAAGGGAGCTCCCAAAAGACGCCAAGGCCCAAGAGGGGCTCAAGACGCCTCCTGGGCCTCCCCAAGCCCCCAGGAGGCATCCAAGACGCGCCTAAGACTCCCCAGCAAGCCCCGATGTCCTCATTGGTAACTGTGGGTGTTCCACGTGGCCGAACACCCTGGATGGCTTCTACGACAGAATAAGCCAAAAGAGACATCCAGGTCCCCCCACGGGGTCGGCGGGGATGCGCAAACCAACACATCACACCTCGACTGCAGAGAAGCGTCTGGGCAGTCCGAAAGGACGGATGCGTGCCGCCGGGGCCACGCCACGATGCGTCAAAGAAGCCCACTTGCGATCCATTGTCATGATGACCTTTTGCAAAACAAGCCTCCTCAATCCCCCCAGGTCTCGCGCCGAGTCGCCGGCCCGTTCCCGCGCATCCTACAAGTTCATGTCAAAACCCGTCAGAATCCAAGAACATCACTGATTGGTCCCCGAGGGCTTCCTGGGGCCCAAGAGGGACTGAAGACTGCGCAACATGGTTTTAAGACGGCTCAAGACGACCCAAGATGGCCCCAGAAGGGGGCAAGAGGGCCCCTAGATGGCCCCAGACGGCACCGAGGAGACCCCCAAAGAGCCTCCAGAACACTATATGGTCCTACGGTCGCTGACGGATTGTAGCATTTTCGCATTGTTGGATTCATGGGAGTCCATGGCGACCCAATCAAGCAGCCTGCAAGATGGCCCCCAACGACCGAATAGGGCCCCCAAGATGGCCCGAGAGCACCCCGAGATGGTTCCAAAACGGTCCAAGAGGCCGGCCCCGAGAGGCCCCCAAGACGGCCTCCGGAAGAGCTTGACGGCACTGTTCGCGGGTGCTCGTTCATTCCGGCCGGTAACGCCCTTTCGACCTACCGTGGCGGGGGGGGCTGCCCTGGGGGGACGACTTGGACGCGACGCCGTGCATGGACGTCGAAGTAGTTGGGCCGTCGACTTTCCACGCACGCGCGCGAAAATCAGGAAGGGCAATCCCACCAGCCCTTTGGGCGTGAGTGGTTTAGCGAGCTTTCTCTGTCCTCAATCCCCCAACCCCCTTCTTCCCCTTCGGGGAGGGGTTTACCCCTCCCCCTACCCCCTCCCCCTGGACCTGGAGAGGGGGTCCCGCGGGTCGTTGGGGGGGTCTTTTCCGACTCCTGGGAGGGCCAAAAAACGACGACCCTCACGAGGATTCTGGCCCCGACGGGGGGGCACAGTTTGGCCCCTCTGCGCTTCCTTGAAGCCAAAATCATTGATTTTACTACGGTTTTGGCCCCATTTTGGCCTCCTGAGGGGGCCGCGCTTCTCTTCCTTCTTAGCAAAATCATTGATTTTACGACGGTTTTGGGCTCATTTTGTCCTTCTCAGGGGTCTGCGCTTATTAGCGCTTCTGAGGAGGTCGCAAGAGGCCCCAAGATAGCCCCAAGAGGCCCCCAGGAGGATCCCAAGAGGCCTCCAGGAGGCCCCCAAGAGGCCCCCAAGAGGCCCCAAGAGGTCCCCAAGAGGCTCCCAAGAGGCCCCCAAGAGGCCCCAAGAGGCTCCAAGAGGCCCCCAAGACGCCCCCAAGAGGCCCCCAAGAGGCCCCACGAGGAGCCCGAACGACTCACACCAGGACGAGGGGCCCGAACGACTCACACCACCAAGAGCCCGAACGACTCACACCACAAGGAGGGGCCCGAACGACTCACACCAGGACGAGCCGCCCGAACGACTCACACCATGAGGAGCCCGAACGCCTCACACCACGACGCGGGCCTCGAACGACTCACACCACGAGGAGCCCGAACGAGTCACACCAGGCAGCGCTCATACAAGCCCCCCACGATGGCCCCCAGAGGTCCACCAGATGGCCCCTAGAGTTCCCCAGATGGCCCACAAGAGGTCCCCAGGAGGCACCACGAGGCCTCATGTTTCGCAAGAGTTGCTGTTTTGAGATGGGCTGGTGGGGATACGCGAAGCGTGAAGAATTTTTGCGACTACGCTTTACACGGCACTGGTGCAGAGTCATGGAGCGCAACAGAACCAGGACATGGAACAAGCATTGATCTCCTTTCGCGAAACAAGGAACTCCCACACGTTTTTACTCATGGCCGGCAGCGGACGACAAACTCCCAAACTTTTCGACCGACCTGAACGTTGTTCCAAAGGGGGAATTATATTGATGGTGTCGTGTTTCGGAAGCGCCAGCCCTGTGGAAGTGTCCGCTACAGACGCGCACCAGCCCAGCCGTTGCCCGAAGTAGTTCGACAGCTCATACGGCGCAGGTTGGCGAGCATCTTCAGCTCCGGGCGCGCGTTCCCCGTCGGTGCCGTTCGTGTTTGCAGCAGCTGTTCGCGCGCATCTCAAGTAAGAGCGCTCACAGGTGCTTTCTCATAATCCCTGCAGGCAAATCGCAGGGGCGTTTCTTGGCTCTCCTCCGGCGTTCTACCGATCCCTGGGCCCAACGAGGTGCCCAAGATGACTCCTACATGGCCTTTTGGCAAGGGCTAGGATGGCCGACGTGGTGAGAAGAAAGTGGCCGAGTTTTTCAGCACACGTTTTCGCCGTACCCAGACGGCACAAGAACGCCCCAAGACGACCCCAGAGGCCTCAAAGACGGCTCCAGAGGCCTCCAAGACGGCTCCAGGAGGGACTCCAGGCGGAGGATCCCAGCGGATGTGTCGAGTCCTCGAACCTAAGAACCCTCAGGAAGCGCCAGAAGGAATGGGCGAAGGCCCCATTAGAAAAATTCTCTCCCTAATCTTCGAGCGCTGTCCGCCGTCGGAGACGCAGACCTCGAGGCAGCCCGACGACAGCCATCGAACTGCTCCTCCTCGTCCTCCTCCTCCTCCTCGTCCTGATCCGCCTCCTTTTCCTCCTCCGTTTTTTTCTGCGTGGCGTCCGACAAGTCCAGACGCACCCCGATGGTGTTCCCACGCCCCGCCCTGCACGCAAAACGCCCCCACATAGCCACAGTCACCGCCAGAACTCCCGACGAAGCTGTTCGATGGAACCGAAGACGCCCCCATGCCAAGCTGAACGAATCCGCTGACCCCTTTCTGGCTCTCCAAGCGTATCAGGCTCTTCCCCTCCCATGACCCCCCGCCTGGCATCCCGAACATAGATTGACACCTTGCCCCCTGACTCTATCTGAAGCTCAAAGACAGCCCCTGAAACCTCCCAAGAGATCCCGCGACGACTCACCAGGGCCCCGAGTCGCCAAATAATCGTTCGAAGACGCCGAAGATGGAATACATACGGCCAAAGATGGCTCCAAGAGGGCTCAGAGAGGGCCCCGAGTAAGCCCCAAGACCACAAAACCCAGAAACAACCCAAAAAGACCCCCTGAACCCCCCGAACACCCGCCAAAATCCACAAACATTGGCTCCAAGACGGCCTCATAAACACGATTGAAAATCCCGAACAATTCTGACATCTCCAAACAACCTTGCCAGGCGACACAACCATCTTCCGCAAAAAACAGACGCGCTCCTCCGACGCAAGCACGACCGCCAGCACGACCACCAGAACGCCCACCATCACGACCGCCACCACGACCACCAATAACACCACCATGCAGGTGCCGTGTCTGCATTGCGCACGAAAACATCAAGACAAGGCCATGAGGCGCCAGAACACACATCTGAAAGAAACATCATCCCCAAGAAAGGAATCCAGAGACCCGGAGGCACACGTCGCGAAAACAATTCTGCCAGCGTGCCTTGACACGTTAAGGCGTCCGTTCCTCACTGACATGACCAACTGCGCGGTAATGAACTTCCCTAATCAAGGCACAGAGAAACAGAAACACCAAAGAGCGAAACTCCCAACGCTTATTTGGGGTCGGTGGCAGAGGCGGAAGCCTTTAGAATTATAAAAACTACGCGCAAGCGGCGGGCTTCTTCAGAGCCCCGCCGCCCCCTCATTCTTATCCGCGACTGCGGGGTGCTACGTGTGATTCCTTACAGCCACTAGCGGCGCACTGAACGACCGGCAACAGGCGAACCTGTGGACGACACCGAAGATGGGGAGAGCCAGCAACGACATCGTGCCCTGTCCCTTGTGGCACAAGCGGTCACGTCTGCCATTTCAGCAGAACATGAGATGGACCACGGAGGGAGGGAAGGAGAAGAGCAGGCCGAGCGACGAGGTAGGATAGGCTGGCGGAAAAGCTGCACCACGCTTGCGGCCGAGACCAATCCGGCGGACATCCTCGAAACACAATGCGCGGTCTGGGCAGGAGCACCTGCCAGGTGGAATGTAAAAACCCTTCAGCAGTACAGCAGAGCACCAGAAATGCAGGCGCGAGGGCACGATGACTGACAGTTGATGCGCGCAGCGTCTTGTTGCAGGGCGCCTGCGGAACCTTCCACTGCACACTGGGTAGAGCCAAGAAGGAACGCCTCCAAAATGGATTGACCGCCCCCCTCCTACTCCTACTCCTCCTCCTCCTCCTCCTCCTCCTCCTCCTCCTCCTCCTCCGCCTCCGCCTCCGCCTCCTCCTCCACCCCATCCGACATCATGGCTACTGTAGGTCACCTGACTTCGCGCATCGCGACCCACGATGCGCGACGCGCGATTACCTTCGCACACTCGCGCCACCCCCCTAGGAGGAGGGCAACTGCTCTGGCCCAGGCCACGACGTGCGAAACACGATTATCCTCGCGCCCCCGCGGGTGACACAATTGTTTCGTGCAGTTGGTGGAAAAAACGCACCGCTACTCCACAGACCTCTTCTGGGGTGCGGTCTGACCCAGATGTTGAAGCGAATCCAGCCGTGATGGCGATGGAGGCGTAGCGGTATCGGTATGTTTTCTCCTCTCCGTAGTAAGCTGCCAGAGCTCGCTCGACCCCTCCCACATGGCCGCTGTTTCATCCTGATCCGTTTCCTGATGGGCCTGGGGCACAGAAAGGGTCCATCGGAAGGCAAACAAACATACAAAAACTGGCTGCCTGGTTTCGTTGCTGAGGAGAAGAGGGAGGAAAATGAAGGGCCGCTGCTTTCCCCCGACTCATTTCCTGGTGGCCCTGGGGCACCGAACGGGACCCGCCGAGGGCCGGGGAAGACACACAAACAACCAACCACTGTATGAGCGGGAGGAGGAGGACGAGGTGCCACCACCAGACTCCAGACTGCCGATACACTCGGCACTCTGCCCAGTGCGGGAGTCCAATTTGGAAAATGGACAGACACGAGTAGACCCGTTCAAGCGGATCACACCGAGGAGAGGACCGAAGCTGGGAGACAAGCTAGGTGCGCTCGTGCCACCTCTGCCATCCAATCTCTCCCGCCGTCCCTTTCCATTGCGTTGCCTGTTTCCCTATCCACGGACGCGTGTCATAGCCGACCTGGAACTCCAAAAACGACCCACCCGTATTATGTACAATCGGGAAAGGAGAGCTGCGCACATAGGAGGAGGATTGGTGGGCAAGCACGAGGATGAGCAGGAGGAAAGGGGGGAAAACGAGGAAGGACGAGGACGAGAACGAACAGCAGCAGCAGAGATTGGAGTGGAAGGAGCGGGAGGACCAGGAGGACCAGGTGAAGGCGGAGGAGGGGGAAGGAGGAGGCGATAACGACGAGGAAAGACTCGGATCCGGAAAGTTGTCCGCGCTGGGGCGAGAGTGCATCTTGAACGACTGGAGCAAAGCGCCGATCCGAAAATGAGGCCCACGCTTCAGCAGGAACACCGTTTTGAAAGATTGAAGACAATCGCACTATAATGAGGAACTGCAGCCGTTGCCCAATTATTTGCACTAAAGAAAACGTGCGCGAAGAGGGTGGAACATCTTCTGGACAGACTCAGGGGAGAGAGAAGAGTATTACTCTTAATGTGCAATTGTGGAAAAGACGGGGAAAGGACAACACCAAGCTGTGCTTGTGTTTTGGTCAGGGTGTTGCCAGAAGTGTCCCCAGCCTGGGGCGTCCCCAAACGTTCCAGGGATGCCCAGATGGCCTCCAAAGCACCCCCCTCGGGGCCCCAGGGCGGGGGGGGGGGCTCCACAGCGGCGCGAAAGGCTGGGGACACCTTGGGCCAGGACCACTTCTGGCAACACCCGCTCAAAGTCGCCAAACGTCCAGACCGTTGGCGCCCTCCGAGGCCTGCTTGAGCACCTCCGCCTCCACGTCCGCCCTGAGCCTCTGGAGCGAAGCCGCGGCGTGCTCCCTGGCGTCGCGCGCGTCCCGGACCTGCGGAAGGGCCGCCGGCGTCGTCGTCGTATTCTGGAAGCTTGGGTCCTGGGGGGGAGGAGAAATCGAAGGGAGATCAAGGTCTCTGGCCCCGTTGGTGTCCTTTGGCGGAGGGCGTTTCCATCCAATCTTCCCTTCCTCCGCGCATCCAGCGAAGCGCAAAATTCTGAACGCCTCGCGTACCCCCACCAGTGCATTCTTCGGCGCTCGCCCGCTGTCGTGCCTGGCTTCGGTCCTGGCCGTGTTGTAGGCCTGGCCTTCGTGCGACTCTACGACGCCGCGCGGCTGTCCGCTTGCGGTTGCGAACAAAAAAACCCACCAGCCTATCCAGGAAAGGTGCCCAGGGGGCTGTCCTTATCGGGGGAGCGTGGCATCATCAAAATACCTCGAGAAGCCTGTGGGCTAGAGGCCCCTCGGAGGCCTCCTTGAGTCTTTTGGGCTGTCTCTGGGGCTCAACGCCCCCCCCGCTCGTTCTACGCCCCTCCTTCCGTGCAGCAGGCACCTCCTGGGCAAGTCCACTTGTCAGAACAGGACGTCCCTGGCGATTCTGATTCAAGACTGCGGGAATCAGACACCAGCCTTCGGGTCATGAGGAGACGCTGGAGATGTTTCTATTCTTATCGGCGAACCGATACAGGAGCACAATTCAGAAACTTCAGAGCATGTGGCAAGCGGTCGTTCCCTCTGCACTTGAAGAAGCGGTGGAACAAGTGCAAACTTGGCGCGCGCATCCGCCGCCCACCTTGTGCAGGCTAAGGCGTGTTGGCATGCACCTCTGCTGTCTGGCAGGGTTTCTTAAGTGTTTTCCGAAGCCCACCCCATCCACTACTCGCACGCGTCCTCTGAACCCCTGACCCCCCCTCCCCAGAGCCGAGTTGGGGGGCGTAATTGCGGATACGCAATGACGGTTTGCAAAGGTAGTTTTCCAGAGCGACCCCAAGGGAGGGATTTACACAAACAAGAGCAACAACACCTGACCCAAAAAACCAACGCAACTAAAATAATACACGCCAGCAAAAAAAACAGCACAGCCCAAACACACACACACACACACACCAACGACAATAACAACAACAACGACCACAGCCATAGTCACAATCACAACCGCACCAATATAACTTCAAACATGTTATGTCTGATCTGTGCGCGTGCAATTCAACACGTATATCCCAAACTCTCGATACCCGTCCTGCTTGCATTCGGTCATACACACTTGGGTGTGTGTGTGTGTGCTTCTGACCTGCAACGTGTATTTCGTGCAGCCCTTAAGGCAGGGGAAAAGAGAACGGATCGAAGGAAGGGACAACGGGAAGGGAGGGGGATGGAGCAAGAGAGAGAATGGCAGAAAGAGAGGAGGTGGGAGCAGAAAACACGTGGCAAAACCAAACGGGCAAATCGGGCGGGTGAACCCTGACGGGCGCGTCGGAAACGCGGGCCCAAGCGGCCCGATCGAGCAGGCGGGTTGCTGAACCGTGCGTCCTACATGAACTGCGAGGGCGTCTCGAGCGATACTGCGACTCCGAACTAAATCGCAGGGAAATCCGGAAAGAGAGCGTGATTTCTGACCGTCGAGGGCGAGGCGTTTTACTACATTGCGACGAAATGCCACGCGAGAGCGCGATTCCTGAACAATTGTGAGTAAATCCCGCGCGAAGGCGCGATTTGGAATAACTTGTGAGGAAATATCAAGCTGGAGCCGCTGATGTTGGAAACGCCGGGCCACAGACACTGTTCGGGGACACCTTACTGCCCATCCTCTTTTTACAAAGAAATGGGCGAGCCTTGGGACGAGCATTCTGGTTCAAAACCAAATGGTCACTACAGGAAACAGATATAACGTAGAAAAGAAGATCCTGCAATTACAACAACTACAACAACAATCGTCAGTATACGAACGTTCGCTTTTACCTGCTCGCGTGCCACTATCCCAAACCTTCGACACCCGCCCTCTGCGTCCTCGACCGTACCCCCCTGGGGGTATATCTTCGTTACCATTAAAAATGGTGATGAAACAGACGCCGGTACACGGATGATGCATATCCGTGCATATGCGTTGTGGCAAAGTGGGGCGGCATCAACGCCAAGGCCATCGTGGACTCGAGCCTGTGGCCTGGAAACACGCCGCGCACGACTACACAGATCATGAAGTTTTGCAACCGATCACTGTGCTCTGGGGGGGCACACGGATACGCAGATACTGATCAGCTAAGCGTTAGCTGGCGCCTACCTCATTCTCAGGCCCCACCCCCCGCCTCCTCCCAATATCTCCTCGCTGTCGCCCGACCTTGCTCATGGCCATCCGACACCACCACCACCCAATCCTGATCATGCCCCTCATCCTCAGTATCTGCCCCCCATATGCCAATTCATGCCGTTCCTCGTCGATTTTCGCCAAACGAATTTCCCCATCATCCAGATGCTCGCCCTCCTCCCATCCTCTACGCCCTAGTGCAGATCATCCCCCCTCCTTCTGCCCCCCCTCTCTCGTCCTCGTGATGCTGACACCGATGATGCAGTTCCTCCTGGGCCCATTTCCTCCCCTCTCGTCCTGTCCCTTTCATCCCCGGCCCCTTCGCCACCCTTCCTTTCGAACCCTTTTCCCAGCCATAGCCCAGCACCCCCACCCCCCCGAGCATTTGCCTTCCCAGACCACGGCCCTTCTTGGACCAGCCAGGAAATCCACGGAAAGTCCCACCTTCTGACCACTCCTGCGAGTGGCGCGCAACAGATGCACAATTGGACGCACCAACTGTGTATTTCGACCGCGCACAACGCCTCCCCTGGACCAGCCGAGACAGAAAAGTGTCAATTCCCGCGGATCCAACACAACCCGCGAGGGGCACATTCCAAATACACAGATGGGAACAAGATCTGTGTACACAGATCACAGCACGATCTGTGTATTTCTAAAAAGAAAAAAATAAACGCTCGCCACCTCGAGGGTGCCCCGGCCGTGCCAACCCAGAAACGAGGTCGACGTACCCAGCTAGGAGGGAATGCAAATACACACTTCCCCGGTCCAGGGCGGCCCCAGGGGAACTGCAAATACACGTTTCCCTGGCCCAGGGCGGCCACGGTGAAATGATGCACCAAAGCGGCCCCCAACGGCCCCAAGACATCCAAAAAAGGCCCCGAAGGAACCCAAAGAAGGCCGCGCGGCAGTCCGAGAATACAAGAGGTGTCACATGTCATGGACCGGTTGACAATCAAAGCTCCGCGCGTCGGCATACAGACCACTGCGCTGGTAAGGGGGCGGGCGGGCGGGCCTTGCCGCAGGCACCTACACATTTACAGGTTAGCGATGCGACTGCGTTTGGCGGCCGAGCCGCCCGCGTTCGAGTGCGCCCTGAACGCTTGCATTGGCAATCCCCTCTGTTTGGTTGCGCCGCTGTGCTCGGATGTCGAAAGGGCGGTATACCGCTGATACGGGCACGCGGCACCAGGGACTTCACTTCCCTTCTTTGAACAAGGAGGGAAAAACGACGGACGGCGCAGCAGGGAGGCAAAGAGGAACAAGGAATAAGGAGGGATCTGGAAAGGGGCGCTCTCCCGCCCGAGCCGCGGACGCTTCCGATACGATCCAGGGGGGTAGAGAGGAGTGAAACGGAGCAAGGGCGAGGACGACGACGGGAAGCAAACTGTCCTCGGTCCGCATATAGCCATTTGCTTGCGATTCGGGTGCGCGCGTTTTCTTCGAGGCAGGTCAAGCCCGACCCATACTGAATTTACGAATGCCGCCAAACTGTGTAAACACTCTGTCCTCTGCACCCCCTCCTATACAATTGCCTCAGACAAGAAGGGCAGTGGATTCCAATATCTTCCTCACCTCGCACGTACAGTTAGCGCTGCCCTGAAAACAGGGAAGGGGAGGACGACGGATGGGGAGGGAGAGTGATGGAACACGAAAGATATTAACTAGAACCACGCGCGCGCTTCGCGCGCGCTTAGGTTCTGTCGAGTCACAGACCCAGGAATCGTTGTGAGAAGAAATTGGTAACGCGAAGCGTCGTGGGGGCGTCCTTGGACGTCTGGGGTCTCCTGGGGCCTCTTGAGGGGCCTCCTGGGGGCCTCCTGGCGGCCTCTTGGGGCGGAAGGCTCGAGCTTGCGGTTCGTGGTCCCCCTCTGGGCCCCCTCTTGGGCCCGTCTTGGGGCCCTCTTGGGCCATCTTGGGCGCCTCTTGGGCCGTCTTGGGGCCCTCTTGGGCTGTCCTGGGGCCCTCTTGGAAGCTTCTTGGGCCGTCTTGGGGCGGTCTTGGGCGCCTCTTGGGCCGTCCTGTAACGTCGGAAAGCCCAAAAGACAACTTTGTTGAAAATGTACGTTTTACGAAGGGAATGGGCAAATTTTTGCGTTCTAGGGGCCCTCTTGGGACGCATGTTGGAGGCTTCTTGGGGCCTCTTGGGGGCGTCCTTGGACGTCTGGGGTCTCCTGGGGCCTCTTGAGGGGCCTCCTGGGGGCCTCCTGGCGGCCTCTTGGGGCGGAAGGCTCGAGCTTGCGGTTCGTGGTCCCCCTCTGGGCCCCCTCTTGGGCCCGTCTTGGGGCCCTCTTGGGCCATCTTGGGCGCCTCTTGGGCCGTCTTGGGGCCCTCTTGGGCTGTCCTGGGGCCCTCTTGGAAGCTTCTTGGGCCGTCTTGGGGCGGTCTTGGGCGCCTCTTGGGCCGTCCTGTAACGTCGGAAAGCCCAAAAGACAACTTTGTTGAAAATGTACGTTTTACGAAGGGAATGGGCCAATTTTTGCGTCTAGGGGCCCTCTTGGGACGCATGTTGGAGGCTTCTTGGGGCCTCTTGGGGGCGTCCTTGGACGTCTGGGGTCTCCTGGGGCCTCTTGAGGGGCCTCCTGGGGGCCTCCTGGCGGCCTCTTGGGGCGGAAGGCTCGAGCTTGCGGTTCGTGGTCCCCCTCTGGGCCCCCTCTTGGGCCCGTCTTGGGGCCCTCTTGGGCCATCTTGGGCGCCTCTTGGGCCGTCTTGGGGCCCTCTTGGGCTGTCCTGGGGCCCTCTTGGAAGC